CGTAGAAAACCCCTAAATAATATAGGGTAAAAACCACAGGCAACGGTAGAAGAATTTCACTATGAGAAAAAATAGGAATTACAACCTCTCTCGATCTACTAAGGAGAAAATAATGATAATTCTCTCTTGATAAAAAGGAGAAAACAACTCTCAAGAAACTCTCTAAAATCTCTCTAGTATTGGAAGAAAGCTAGAATGCTTTGGGATGATTTTGAAGCTAAATGAGCTAGAATATTTATAGTTGAAGCTTTAAGGACTAATTTGTAAATACCCTAAATTATAATGACTAAAATTGAGATTATCTCATTAGCAAATTTCAACTAAATTTGTTGTGCCTTTCGATGCATTTAATGCTTTTTGAAAACAAAATTCCAACATGCACTTTCAGTGCATGTGCTCAACAAAATTTTGATGTGAAAACTAAGTTTATATATGGGAGAAAACTACAATGGAGATTTAGAGGAGATTTGGGACAATTGAAGAAAAGAATAGGGAAATGCTTTAGTTCAACTTTAATGCATCGTTAGCGGCTCAAATTCACGACAGTTTATAAGGATGATAGAGATGACTCCACAATCTTGAGAAAGTATGACATCCATTATGCATCTTCCTAGAAATGTTAAACACAAACTCCAAAATCCTATCTATTTCTAGAAATGTTATTATTGAATTAGATTTTCAAAGTAAAATATAATCCATCTTAACTTGAAAAATCTACTATTAGTAATTCCTTTATTTATTAAAAAACAATTTTATAGAAAATCTAAATTAAGTTTAATATTAGTAATAAATAATCTCAGGGTTCTCATCGAGATCAAGAACAAAATTTTATTTAACAGATGTAAAAATAACAAATTTTACAAGGTCGCTTTTATATTTTTTACACATTCGAAATTGCATCCTTCTATTTTTTTAAAATTCAATAATTTAATCCCTCTACCAGATAACGCAATAATTTTTTTCTTCAAATTTTGCTACTGGTGTTGCTCCGCATGACATCAAAAATATCTAAAATAGAGGAAAAAACCGAAAGACAAAACCAAAATATTTTTTTCATTAACATTGACGGAAGAGCAAAGCAAAATCCAAGAGGACCTAGTGCAATTTTATAATTCACAAAAGGCCATCATGGATGAAACAATTTTATCTATAGTTAAATGATAAGTCAACCTTATCAGCCTCTACAATAGATCAGCTCTACTAAAATTCACTCTTGGCTGAGATACCAAGCCACATTACAGCACTGAACATTTGCACAAAAAAACAAATGCAAAGAGGTGCAAAATTATAGCTTAAGCGTCATCATGAGCAAGGACTCCAGGAAGTTGTTTGCCCTCAAGAAGCTCTAAGCTGGCACCACCACCGGTCGAGATGTGGCTCATCTTGTCAGCAAGCCCAACCTTCTCCACAGCTGCAACAGAGTCACCGCCTCCGATGATTGTCGTCACTCCCTTGCCACTGAGCTCAGCAAGCTTCCTTGCAACTGCCTGCATTGTAAATAGTATTAAAAAGAACCATTTGTGAGCATAACCAAACGAAAAGACCTAATTCCACACCGTGACCACCTAACCTAATTCCTGAAAGTAATTCAGACTTACCTCAGTGCCCGCAGCAACTTATCAAACTCAAACACACCCACCGGTCCATTCCAAATAATGGTCTGGGTAGTGTCCAAAGACTCATTAAAGGTTTTGATGGAGTCGGGTCATATATCCAAGCCCATCCAACCATCAGGGATCTCTGCAGCTGGAACCACCTGCAAAAACATTTAAGAATCTAATAAATCAATGTCTGAAAACAATTCAAATATGGGGCATATATACTAGAAGATTTGGTATTATGTACACTCTGCTTCCATGTAGCCTATGGCCGTAAAATTACGTGTATTGCAACATAGTACACTCAAATCTCTTATCACGTACTTCATATGAGAAGCAGCACAAACCTTGCTGTCGGCATCAGCAGAAAACTTGTCCGCAATAATCACATCAGTAGGCAGCAAGAGAGAGACACCTTCTCGATAAGCGATGTTGCTAGATCAAGTTTGGCTTCTTCCACAAGTGATGATCCAACTTTGCATCCTTGGGCCATGTGGAAGATAAAGATCATTCCCCCACCCAGTAAGAGAATATCAACCTTGGCCAAGAGGGATTCGATCACTCCAATCTTGGTTGATACCTTAGAACCACCTACTATTGCAGCAAATGGCTTCTTGGGATTTGCCACAGCTCCAACAAGATAATCAAGTTCCTAAAAAGAGAGAATAGAACATAGCATGTCAAAGGACAACAGAGAACTGAAAAAACATAACTATAGCATCTTGTTATCTACATGCTCGAAAACCGCGAACATCTGATATTTTATGGAGGATATGCTTCAGCACAATCCAGCAGACAAATTAAATGATATCTCTATCAGATCCCATGGTTGCAAATATGATTCTTAAACCAATCTGCTAGATCACACAACACTTCATTTTCAAACTTAAGATATTCATAATACCTTCTGCATGAGAAAACCTGCAACAGAAGGTTTTAAGAACTTAGCCACTCCCTCTGTGGAAGCATGGGCCCTATGGAAGCTAGCTTCTTTGAGAATTCAGGATCATTCTTCTCTTCCTCCTTGTAGAACCTCACATTCTCAAGAAGCAATACACCTCCATCAGGTAGTTCAGCCACCATTTTCTCAATTTCTTCACCAATACAGTCGTTTGCCATTTTAACCTTTTACAAGACATACAAATTTTTAATAGAAAAATAAACCAAGCAAATGAAACTCAGAGGTGGAAAAAGAGTTAGTTTTTTAAAGAAAAACATCATCTTCAAGGAGTTGAGATAGCCTCCGCACAAGAGGCTTCAAACTGTACATAGGAGTGACACCCTTTTACAAATTTTTACCAAGACAGATACAAATTTTTAATAGAAAAATAAACCAAGCAAATGAAACTCAGAGGTGGAAAAAGAGTTAGTTTTTTAAAGACAAACGTCAACTTCAAGGAGTTGAGATAGCCTCCGCACAAGAGGCTTCAAACTGTACATAGGAGTGACACCCTTTGGGCGTCCCTGAAAGAGAAAAAAACAATTAGAAACATGTTATAAAATCTTCAACATGTGAAAAGATAAACAACGAAAAGAAACATTTCATCCACTTTGCATCCATCTAATTGCTAATTGCACTAAAATACTAAAACAAATCACATTAATAATATCTTTTTGATATTGAATAGCATACTACTACACACAGGGACAAAGGATTTGTTCCCTGAGATCTTTGTTAAGATCTTAGACTATCATTTACTGGAACAAGGAATGGCAACAGTATAACTTTACTTTCGACAAAGCAATTATACAGTTTCAGATGAACTATTGCTTCCAAAATGGTGCAAATAATAATCCAAGCTCAAAAACAGGAAATCAAACACAAGAGACAATAAAGGTGAACCAGTTTTTGAGTAAAAAACAAATAACAACTAAGAAAATATCAACCAGAAGAATATGCTTGTTAGATATATCAATAATAAATAAACGCTAGCTAAGTGCGTCATTTTCAGAATTAAAGAACAAATAAAAACAAAATCAGATTGAAATATAGACACAATATAAACATAAATGAGATGATGATCATGATGCCTCCTTCCGATTCTGACAAATCTAGCTTATTCAGACCACATAAATTAAAATAAACAAAAAAAACACAAATATCCATAAAAATAGCAATCAGAGCTCAATAAACACCAGATCAAAACATGCAAATAAATAAACAATAAACACCAGATCAGGAAGGTACCAAATGACTGGAAAGAATGACTTTAGAGCCATGGCAATCAAATACTTGATGGTGGGAACAGCAGCACGGATTCTGGTGTCATCAGTTATGTTGAAGTTTTCATCCAAAGGAACGTTCAGATCGACACTAACGAACGCTTTCTTTCCCTTCAAATCAGCTTCCTTCAAATCCCCAACGCTCTTCTTTCTACCCATAGTATTATTAGCGCTTGTCCTTCAACAACAATCAATGTAAAAACAACGCTGCACACAGAAAAAAAAATGGAAAACTAAATAAAAGTGTTCAAAGTGAGAGAGCTTACGAAGATGGGAGTGGCGGATGGATCAAGACAGTGAAAAGGGAGAGAGGTCTAGAAGGGTTTTAAATACAAGGAACAAGAAGAGCATAATTCGGGAAACATAATCTATTTTTGCGTGGGCAGCTTAAATATATTTATTTCGTATTTAAATTATTTTATGATTAAATATTTAAATTTAATTAGGCCAAAAAAGGTCGTTGTTAGTTGCTGTTCAAAAATAGTATCATTTAACTGCATTTTCATAATATACCTTTCTCAACCGTAAATTTAAATTATTTTAGTATGATTATAGTCGTAATGAAAAATCTCATTAATAAATTAGAATAAATATACACAAATATGTATATGTATATTATAATATTTGAATTTAAAATCTTTAATCATTTAAAAAATAATGAATTAGCCAACAGATTATTCTCTAACCACAAAATAATTTGCTCAGCTTTTAAGTTCAAGATTGATATCAATGCCCACAATTGAAATATTGAGAAATTCATTTTCAATAGTAAAATGAAGGAGTTAGTTTATTTGGTGGATAACGATATCCCGAGGATGATGGCCACAAACACAGATTTCAGCGGTCCAACTTCTCATGATCTCTGCAGCGCACAAAACGTGACCCAAACCAAAAGTAGAAGCAGTAAAGGCCTCTCATTTTTATGTGGTTTTCGTTACTTACGACAGATTCCTGATCAAATTTTTGGCTATTTTATCCCTTTCCACAGTTGAACTAAAAACCACCCAGATGATTGCAGGGGACTTGTAAACCAGATAAAAGCATACCAAAATCTCTTGATGCAACAATTTATACTCCTACAGGAGACTTGTAAAACCAGTGTTCATTTGTAATCATATGTGATACTTTCCGAAGTCAACCTATAGGAAGGGTATGAACAATGTAAAGAATAATGCAAGGTTTTGAGAAAAATGAAGCAATTTATTTAAAATCAACACTGTTCTGGCAACCTTTTAAGGATAAGCAAGAAAGGAAGAGACGGAAATGGGTCCTTCTAGCGATTTAAGGTGTACATTTACAACAAGAACTCGTTTTATTTCTCGATTACAAAACCGGATAAATTACTGAAAATTTGATTTGATCTTACACGGCAACCAGGGTAGCCTCATCGAGGGCAATCACACCTGGAAGCTCCTTCCCTTCCAACAATTCTAAACTGGCACCACCACCAGTTGATATGTGGCTCATGACATTAGCTACTCCGACCTTTTCTACAGCGGCGACAGAGTCTCCACCTCCAATGATTGTCGTCACTCCCTTGCCACTGAGTTCTGCTAGCTTCTTTGCAATAGCCTACAAGTAGAAAGCAATCTTAATTCCAATTGACTTATGAAAAAATAGAAAAATAAAATAAAAGCAGTCATCTTGAAAACTTGTCACTCCTTTAGGGACCGAGGGATTCAAAGCATATTAGTTAGAGGTAGGCAACTTCAAAGCATATATCCTAAATTACTATTTCTGTAAGGATTTGTAAATGAGATTTAAGAATTCATAAAGGTAACTGGAGAAAGGCTTGCTTTAGCTAGTTTGGAAACAAAAGCAAGTGGCTACCAACTTAAAACTATATCCAACTAGTAGAAGGGATACTTTAATTCTAAGTATACAGCAATATCATCAAGAACTAAACCCCATAGTCAAGAAATTCAAGCATACCTCGGTCCCGACTGCAAACTTATCAAATTCAAACACTCCCATCGGTCCATTCCAGATGATGGTTTGGGTAGTATCCAAAGCGTCATTGAATGTCTTAATGGAATCAGGTCCAACATCCAATCCCATCCAGCCATCAGGAATAGCAGAAGCTGGCACAATCTGCAAGAAGCAAAACTTGTTTTCAATCTTGCTAAGACAAGAGAATAAAGGCAATATAAGAGCGGTTTATTTCCAGTTATAGCTCCATATCACTGTGATCACTCTGGCTTTCTTTAGCACAGATTGCTCTGAGAACATTACAGGGACAGGGTAGAAAGTAGAAACAAACCTTGCTGTTTGCATCAGGGGCGAACTTGTCTGCAATAACCACATCAGTGGGTAACAAAAGAGACACTCCCTTCGCCTTGGCCTTTGCAAGGAGTGATGTTGCAAGGTCAAGCTTATCTTCCTCTACCAGGGATGAACCAACTGATAGGCCCTGTGCCTTGTAAAATGTGAAAATCATACCACCACCAAGAAGGAGAATGTCACATTTCTCAAGGAGTGATTCAATGACTCCAATCTTGGAAGAGACCTTTGAACCACCCACAATGGCGGCGAATGGCCTTTTGGGGCTTGAAACTGCACCAACAAGGTAGTCCAGCTCCTGTAACAAGATAGGAAGCAAATGAATACAAGGGGAACCTAAAACATTAAAATGTAACAAGAAAAATAATAAAAAATAATAAAAGAAAACTTCATAGTAGTTTAAATGCAGTGTCAGAATTAAACCAATGATGAATTTACTCGAAAACATGTCTATTTGAATTCACCAATTGAAAACTAAACAAGTTTCTTCATGAACTTGGAATACCTATCCTACCTTCTGTAAAAGGAAACCAGCAACAGATGGCTTCAAGAATTTTGTGACACCCTCTGTTGATGCATGGGCTCTGTGTGCAGTCCCAAATGCATCATTGACAAAGAGATCAGCTAACGAGGCGAGCTTCTTCGCAAATTCAGGTTCATTCTTTTCCTCCTCTTTGTAAAATCTAACATTTTCAAGAAGAAGAACACCGCCTTCAGGAAGTGAAGCAACTAACTTTTCTACTTCCGGACCAATGCAGTCATCAGCCTTGACAACCTGTTCAGATAATGAGTGTTATTGTCATATAATACATGAACTACACATCCTATAACTGGAAAAGTTTCAGCTTTCGTTGATTACCTGAGTGCCAAGCAGTTCAGAGAGCCGGGGTACAAGAGGAGCCAAGCTGAATTTTGGTGTAACACCCTTTGGCCGACCCTGAAAATTCAATGAACCATAACTTAATTCTTACATGCACAATAGAAGGTATAGAGCTGAAATGCCAAGCTCTGGTAATTGATTCAATTAGGCAATAAATGGCATAAAACTCAACAATATAAGAATAAAGAGAAATTAAGTTACCAAGTGGCTAGAGAGAATAATTTTAGCACCATTCTGAATCAAATGCTTGATAGTGGGAACAGCAGCACGAATCCTAGTGTCATCGGTAATGTTCTGGTTATCATCCAATGGGACATTCAAGTCAGCCCTCACAAACACTTTCTTCCCTTTCAAATCAGCCGCACTTAAGTCCCCAACACTCTTCTTCGCCATCGAAACAACGCCTCTCGACCCTTTTCCCTTAAAAGATCGAACTTTGGAGGAGACGTGGAGGGAGAGCAGAGAATCCCCAGAAGCAGCGGAGGAGAAGCCAAGGCCGTGGGTGAGAGTGGAGGATTTGAGGTGGCGGCGGGTGGAGGGAAGTCGGATGAGGGATGCAGAAGGGCGGGAGGCAGAGGAGGAAGAGGTGGTGGAGGCGGTGGTTTTGAGGAGGGAAAAGGTGGTGGAAGTGGTGGCAGAAGCCATTGGAGGCAAAGCGAGGAAGAGCGTGGCGGTGGCCGAGTTTAGAGAAGTGAAGGCGGAAAGTGAAGGAGAATGAGAGAGGTTTGGGTATGTAAACGTGGGGTGGGAATGGGAAAGATGTGGACGTGGAACGAGCGGGAAAATGGTTGGATGTGAGGAAGGGGAAATTAGATGTCTTTGCTTTTCTTATCGTTGAGGAGAGGTCCAAGATGTTCGATGCTTTCTTTACATCTCCCTGCACTCTTTTCCTTATCTCATCCAACTTTGATTCCCTTAAACTATGTATTTACTCATTTAAGTATCATTTTAATTATTCTATTATTATTATTTTTAAAATTTTTACACAACGTTATATTTTGATCACCAATCATTAAATATATATATATAAGGGATGACGTGGTAATTCTTTTTTTCAATAAAAATATAATATTATCTTATGATGACACATCAATATTTTTATTAACTTTTTAATGATAAATAAACTAAATAGCATTTAAACATAATTTTAAATATGATTTTAAAAATAATAATGAAATTACCAAAACAATAACAAAATGATAATTATGAATAAATACGTAACTTACTCTAAATTATTTCAAGAGTTCACTTTGATAAACTACGTACATACATGGTCATTGAAGTACACACATGTTTCTTTTCTAAACATTAAAGTTTAAAAATGATAAAACGGTCACTAATATTATATTTTATAATAAACCGACCACTCAAACTTTAATTGTCATTACTCCCGTCACAAAATCTGATATAACATGTTTAGGTGATAGAGTTTGACACTGTTTAATTATATTGACACACTTTAATCAGTAATTTTAACATTCATTTAGTATTTGTTTTATTCAGAGTGGATTGTTTGTCTTCATAGGATGGCATTGATCAATTTGCATACCAAATAACATTTAAAATTCATTAAAGTTGGGGTGTACAAGACTGATTTCTATCTTTTGAAAGCCGCTATGATAACAAGGAGATTGCTTTACATTGCGGAAATATGTTGAGGGGGTCATCAAATTTCCAACATTTGTACAGTAGGATATATGATCTATATGACTATAACAAAAGGGGCAAAATATTAAATATAATTTTGAATAATATGATATATGTCACATCTTCACTTTGATAATATATATATATATGTTAAGTCATAATATTAAATTATCCTTCTATATTTGTACAAATTATTACTTTAGTTCTTATTTTCTTTTAGCATTATATATATCTACGTTTTATATTTTATTAAAATATCTCATTAGAAGGAAATTGTTAATTGACTGATAGTCAACAAATATTATTGACATGATATATATATATATATATATATATATATATATATATATATTAATTGTTAACGTGACACAAGCCACGTCAGTATTTTAGTGATGTGACACATATCACGTCAATAATTTAATACATGTGAAAAGATCACGTCAATAACAAATGTTGATCGTTAGTAAACTAACGATTCACTTAGACCTAACAAATTTGACCCATAGCCGGTTACCTGAACCTATTTACCTAATTCGAGACCCGATATAGACCCGAACAAGATCATCCAAATTTTGAAATAACTTGAATTGAACCAAAACTGACCCGAAATTTAATTTGACCGAAAGTAACCCGAATTTAGTTTACCCATATATGATCCAAACCGAACTTTAACCCGATAATTGGGTCTAAGTGAATGAATGATTTATTTATTTATTTATTTATTTATTTATTTATTTATTTATTATTATTATTATTATTATTATTATTATTATTATTAGGTCTAGTATAAAAAAGGTGTCTAAACTATACATTTTTCCTATATTGGTGCCAAAAAAAATATCGATCAATCCAGGTACCTAACGTTACAAACGTTATCACTTTAGGTGCCTGACTGCAACGACCGTTAAAAAACTTCATCAAATGACATGTGTCATATTCTAATAATTTTAAAAATCGTTTGTTAAAGGATCACATTAGTTCAATGAATACCTTAATTATTTAAGAAAAGTTTTAAGGACTGCATACTTTTTTTAATAGAATTCCATTAAGCTTTTAAATTAACTCCATCACATGTCCCATTTATATTTTAAATCATAATCACGGTTCACGTTAACAATGATTTTGATTTTAAATACAAGTCTTCTTATTTTAAATTAACTCTATCACATGTAAAGAACTATTTTAAGAGATTTGACATAATATATCTTATGATTTAAAAATATTCACCTAATCTTTTAAGGTGCATATATGACGAATTTATCCTTATGAACGACTTAACTATTTTATTTATTTTTAGTTAATTAATAATAATAAATTAGTTAATTATAAAATCATTTTAGTTATCGTTAAATTTAATTATATTCTAATATAATAATATGTCAAACATATAGTTTTTAAATTTATTTTTAAAATACCGTGAATAATGGTTATTTTATTATTATTTTAATGATACATTATACAAATACATATGAAATATTAAATATGGTATACTTAATTTTAATTCAATTTTATGAAATATGTTTATACATTATACAAATACATATATCTATACTTAATTTGTGATCCTGATTAATAAAATCTCGGACATCATATACACACGCACACAAACATCAAGAGGGTGAGTTAAATTAAGAATCGGAGTTTGAGGTGTCACTGGGAGCCTAGAAATTGAAGCTTGTTTTAATGGCGAGTGCGAATGAGTTTGAAGATGGGTTGAAGATAATAGAGGAGCTAACCACCAACGCCGAGCAAATACAGGAGCAGGTATTAGGCCAAATACTGAAGAGAAATGCAGGACAGAATATCTGAGTCGATACCTCGATGGCAAAACTGGCAAGGAACAGTTCAAAACGAATGTTCCCACTGTTACTTATGAAGATATTAAGCCTTACATTGATCGGATTGCCAACGGGGAGACGTCGAACATCCTTTTGGCTGAATCCGTCATTGAGTTCCATCGAAGGTCTAAATCTGTTTATTCTGATCTATTTTCCAACTCTTCCATCCTCCTAAGTCAATCTCGTTTGATTTGCAGCAGTGGCAACTCAGGAGAGAAGCCAAAGTTGACACCTGTCACGGCTGAAATTCCTGATCTAAGAACACTCTATGTGACCCTGTTAGCATCCGTGCTGGAGAAGTAAGAAACTGAGATTAGAATACTTTTAAATTGGTTAAATATGGCATTGACCTAACAGCACATTCATTTACAGACACTTTGGTAACTTATACCAGTCAGGTAAAAGATTGGAATTTATGTTTGCCAAACCAGAGATTGAAACTCCTTCTGGCCTCAAAGCAAGATCTGTGACAACCAGCTTGTACAAGGACCCAGGCTATAGAAACATTATCTCCAAGCATTATACAAGCCCTGTTGAAGCAATCTTTTGCAGGGTATCAAATAGCGTTCCGAAAACGCTATAGCGGCCACGATATTGCGGTCGCGCCACCGTCCGAAACCGTTATTTGTGATTTTTGCGGTGGGTCATGGATTCACACCGATTGCGGTCAATTGCGCCCGTAATTTAACGGTAAACGGACGATTGTGCCGATAACGGGATGCAATCGCCGTTATTCCAACCGTTACTGCAAAAAAAATTAAGGAAAGATAGATTTTTTGTGTTCATCATCACCAAAGCTGTATTTTTTTCTTTCTTTTCAAATTTACGTTTTTTATACATGCATGTTGAGATTCAAAAGGAAAAAAAAATGGAAAAGTAAAATTAAAGAACGAACCTGTTTTGTGGTCTCATCGGAGTGGAGTTCACTGTAATCGAAGAAAAGAATCTTCGTCGGAACTTAAGATTGTTGAAGAAAAAAAATCATTCACGCTCTGAATTTAGGGTAGAACATGTTATGATTTTGGAGTTTTTTTGCTTGATTTTGATATTGAGTGTTGAGAGAAGAGAGCAGAAAGAAATGAGGAAGAAGTGAGAAAAAAAGGAGAGACTGGAGAAGGAGATCGTGCGGGGTGGGTGGGGAGAGGGATATAGTTTAGGATTAAAATATTTTAGGGTTATTAGATTTAAAACAAAATATTTTGGGCCCATGTTTTTAAAGTAAATTATAAAATATATCAAGGAATATATTAATTTTTTATCCTTTTACTTTTTAAATTTTATAATTTAATATATAATTTAGAATGTAAACTTTAATTTTTGTTTAATTTAATTCTAATTTCAGTAATTTAAATAATAATGTATTCACAATATTATCATGAATTAATTATTTTATCCTATTATCGGAATTTTAAAGTTTTTTATATGGTTAAACTATATTATATATGTCATTTTAGCTTAGAAAACATTCTAAAAATCATTAAAAATGACTCCTTATAATTATAATTATTATGTTTTATGATAAGTTGTATGAATTTAAAATAATTTACGACCGCGGCACCCGCAGTGACCGCGATAGTATCCGTTATGTCCGCAACCGCGATAAACGCGACGCTACCGAAAATGCGACCGCAAACACTATTTAAATCCCTAATATTTTTGCTCAGACCCCAACCAAAGCATGTATTGTCAATTACTTGTTGGTTTATTACAGCGAGACGAGGTTGTAATAGTTGCCTCCTCCTTCGCGACAGCAGTTCTAGGAGCTATCAAGTTCTTAGAAGATTAGTGGAAAGAGTTATGCTCCAACATAAGATCAGGTCAACTTAGCGACCGGATAACCGACTCCGGTTGTAGAGACGCAGTATCGTCGATCATGAAGCCTAATCCTCAATTAGCCGACTCGATACAGAACATATGCGCTTGCAAATCGTGGGAAGGGATGATCAAAAAGCTTTGGCCCAAAGCAAAGCTTATCAGTGCCGTTACTACAGGTGTTATGAGTCAATATGTTGAAACACTCGAGTTCTACAGCGGAGGGCTCCCTTTAGTATCAGGCTTTTATGCTTGTTCTGAAGCTTTTTGTGGGATCAATTTGGAAATTCTAACTCAACCTTCCCACGTCTCATACACCTTTCTTCCCAACATGGCTTACTTTGAATTCCTCCCCGTCAATAAAGACACTCTAACAATGTCTCAAGAAGATATTGAACCTGTTGATCTTATACATGTGAAGCTTGATCGATATTATGAATTACTGGTCACATCTGCTGCAGGTAAAGTTGCATTTTACTTTCCAAAAAGCATCAGAACAGAAATGGGAATTATCTATTCGGTTAAATTCTTTGATATTCTGCTCTCT